TCAAAAACTCGGGGTCTCATTTTTAATTTTCTCCTGTACACGAAGAATACACATTATATATCCTATTTTTCAAAATATCCTATCTACAAAAAATTATTGAAGGAATCACATATACGCAATATAGGTAACTACAAAAATTATAACTACTTTCTACTTTTTCTTCTTCAAATATTTCGTATCAAATGTGCATAACATTCTACGTTTTTATTTTTAGATTAGATAGATTTAATTTACTTCTTGAAAGCTTCCCTATTCCATTTAACGCTATATTCTTCTCCTGCGCCACTCTTATAGTAATCCCTCACGGAAGCAGGCAAACGTTCCAGAGCATGCTTCTCGTAGTCCTCGACACATACGTACGCTGCCATTCTATTGCGTCAAAAATTAATATCACACTGTAAAAAGTATTGTTATTGTAATTAATTTTACAATTAAGCATAAAAAAATTTATAATAAATCTAATCGAGAAGAGGCCATGTCGGCTGACTCACCGATTTCAATGAAAATTTTTTTGTCAGTTGCATCAAATTTCATGAATTCGTTTGCGAATTCTGAGAATGTTGAATGATTTTACATGGAAACTTCATTTAATGAATACTTGCAAATGTTTCATTAGTGAGTCAATTCACACGTGTAATTTCCTCTTATTAAATTTATTATAGTTTCTTTCATGTTTCATTCCCTTGTAATATTCTTATAATTTGTATTATATATGTGTGTATATATATTATAACATTTTTTTAAACATTTTATATTCGTCAACTGATACTTTTATAATATAATAGTAGATGGTAGTAACGTAATGTTATTGCGAACATGCGACGTTATATAACAGAAGTGCATTGTATAATTTAAAGAGAAACAACAAATAAACACATTATTTCGAAAGTAAAGCGTATAGAAGAACTTATAGTAAATCTAGAATATGTATATGCTTCTGTCTTACAATTCGTGTCAAAAAATAATATGATCTTGAAGATGTCTCGAAGAGAGTTTCGTTATCAACAGATAAATACATATTTTATAATGTAATAGATAACTGTATTTATATATAACATTGCGCGTAATAATTGAGACACAAATCTCAGTTTGACAGAATACATAGTCTTAAATTGTTGCATATAGTCGTTTATTACGCGATATATAGTTGTCATTCTCTATTGATAACGCAGACAGAATATTTATCATTTTACTGATAACAATTAATATACAGCGGTACTGATGGCGTCGACGTATCGAAAAAAAATTAAGCAGATAAAAAATTCGCGCATATAAAAGATTAAAAAAAACTTACCCTTCGGATAGCTCGTTGTCCACTTCTGCTCGTCTCGATCATTAACAAACGACTGACTATTCTCGGATAAATCTTCGCCGATAGCACGGCGAAAGTTAGGAATTTAGTCATACAACAGATAAAACTGCTCTTAGATAAACAACACGGGTTGTTTTGATCTGTTTCCAACGATGCGATGAATATATCAACTGTCTTCTCTTATGAAGGATGAATTGATAACGCTTAATATCAACAAAGATATTTCAAGAAGTACGGCAGTTTCCATGAATTATACATTCTTGCGTGTATCATACATTAAATCATACATACATACATACATACATACATTTTTCGTCTTTAATTATACGATGATATTACATTACCATGTAATGTAATATCATCGTATAATTCAAATCGATGCAAATTATCTAATGGCACGCGTGCCTCCGAAACGCGATGTAAATTAAATGTAGAATAAATAGAGAAAAATCTATTCTCTCGATTAAATTTTATTTAGGCGATGATATACTTGGCAAGAAATATCACAATAATAATACTGGATCAAGTTCAAAATGCATTCGCTACGAATTACGAAACCTGAGTACCTCATTGTCAGTTTAAATAGAATTGAAAATGATTAAGTTTATTAAGAAGAATTAATCTTTATATATTAAGAAATTAATAATAACTAATATTGTCCTAATACCAAAATAATGATTTTTTTTAAGGGAAAAATCTAGAATTGCTAGAAAAAAATAAAAACAGGATAAAAATCGGTATAATATACAAAAATCGGTTAAAAGATAAAATCCATTTAGATAAAAATAAATTCTTTTAGCTTTATAAATGTTTCAGGGAGATTTAAAACTCTCCCTTCCTTTTTTTCTTTTACGTAAAAAAATTGCAGCACAAATTGCAAAATAAAAGATATAATGTGATATTAGGCTTTGCTTATTAGAGAAATTATTTGAAAGGATGAAAAAGGTTTTCTAAAAGAGGATTTGAAGAAATTCTAAAATTCTAAGGCAGCAGCAATTGTAGTACGTAAAAACTATCACAAACAGAATTCGATGACTTCTATCATATTTCAACTCGTATCACTGATGAAAACTATCCGGATAGTCAGATTTGTCAAAAACAGATTCTGCAAAGTGTCTGATACAAACTTTGTCGGCAAAATATCAACAAAATCTGTCTGATAATAAAATCTGTCAATATACATAGAATATGCTAGCAGACTTATTGCAGAATCTACCATTTTATAATTATTTAAATGATACCCAGACAGTTAAATTTGTCAAAAATTTTACAGTGTCTATTACAAATGTTGTCAATAAAATGTCAACAAAAATAATAAAATCTATTAATAGAATATGATGATAGAGCGATTGTAGAAATCAAATAGATCTGCTATTTCTGATAGAAGATGAGCTTAATATTTTATGATGTCAATCTACATGATATTCTGTTCAGTAAACTGCTAGCATACCGTTAACATTTTGCTTACTGAATTATAAATAGCGATTATGATACAGACATAAAGACTTACTGCATATCTTCTAATCGTTGTCAATATCACCGATACTATGTGACGTTAAAACTTAAAGCTCCTGACTGGTCACTGCGATTATATTAGAATCGTGACGTTATAAGCGAAAAATGATACGTTAAAGTTTCTTGCCATTTGTAAATTTAAAATTATCAAGAAAATTTAGATGAAATCGATTTAAAATACTTGTAAAAATGGACGGAAACTATTCTTTCTCTCCTTAAGCGAATAAAAGGCACGTGAAGCCTATTTTCAGAAAACGGCAAGAAAACGGTTTAATAGCTGTTGAAAAAAGTGAGAAATATGCTTTTACATTTAAAATTCAAAGATATAACATCACTTTCCGTTCATTTTTACTTTTTTTAATTTGATAAGTACGAGACAAATCACATTTTCACAATTATTAAAATACATAATAACGAAATGGCATGCAAGATCAACACTTTTCACAGTAAGGCTCGTTCTACAATATGTCGTATGTCGGTTTACGACTTACGATACCGACGATTGTACATATAACAGGCCTTGTACGATAAATTAAGTTCTATAATTCCTACAGCGATATGATACCGCCAACGCGGAGTTCTTGGTTGAGTAGTCAGGAGCCTTAAACTTTTAAGTATTTCTGCTTCAAACGTACGGAATTCTAGATTAATTTCCGGGAAACGCAGAGAAAGGGAACGGAAAAACGATCGTATGTTTTAAACTTTACTTTACTTTATTACATTCTGTTAGAAATAATACACAAAAGATTCCGGAGGCGGCAGAGGTCTCCTTACTGCGGAACACGCAGGACGCGCGGGTGTCGCCCGTTTGTAAGTAAAAGCCCCTCGCAAAAATTGGCAAACCATCGCCCGCAACCCCCCGTGCGTATCTTTATTTCTGTGTGTGAATGTGTGTTTTGTTCGCGTTGTGTACGTGTCTATGTGTGTGTATGTGTGAAACTGTGTGTATAGTTTTTATTTTATTTTCTAAATCACCTCAGCGACCGCGCGCGCGCACACCAGCACATTGCATCTAATTAAGAATATACAATCTTATAGTAATTATACTTATATTTATATATTTATATATATATATAATATGTATATCGAAAGAGAGTCTGCGAGGGACCATAAATAACGGCGCGGGTCGGCGGTGTGCATGGGGGATGGGTCGCAGGATTGGTTGGCAAATCGGTTTTACGAGTTTAAATGAAAAATGCCTGCATAAATGCGCCATTTAATGCGGATATGTAGCGCGTAGGGCGACCTGAGCGCTTCTTTTGTATATCTCTTTTTTTTTTTATAGAACCGCCTGTAAAATTCCAGCACGTCGACGGCAAATCTGTATCTCGCTATCCTCGCCTCTCCCTTCTGAGTTAGAACTGACACACGAGTTGGATGGCATTGTTGAACGCCCGAAGGACCGAATGATCTCGATCTCAACATCTCGATTCTATTTTATAAATCCTATTTTAGGATTATTTAAATTCTAATATTTCACACGTTCCACCTCCCTTTAAAGATGTCTTTCCGAATCTTTGTATCGTTTGCGAAACGAGTCCCGATTGCGCGATTGCGAGGATCTGGGAAGTATTCAAGGATATAAAGGAGAATTTTACGCGAACCTTGTGGTTTCCTCACTCGAGAACGCTCGTCCTTATTGATCTTCTGTCGTGATAATCCGCGACGAGAAATTAGGAGGATTCAGCAGAAACGTTCGCAAACGCGTTTGATTGTGGACACACGACGACACTCATAAAATTGAATTGTGAAATAAAAAATAAATATAAAATCATAATTATTTGAAACGCATTTGCGGCATTATTAAGGGATTCAATCAATAAAACGTACGATTAAAAACCTCTTTTTACACGCTTGCGACGTTTCACCCGACTCTCCTTCAAAAATAAGTATAAATAATAATCCCTCCTTCAAAAGTAAATAATAATCGCATTTCATCCGCGCGGTTTTTCGTCACGGCAGATCAATGACTGTGCAAAGAATTGACAGATCTTTTCTGAGAATTTTTTCAAACTACGCTCTTCTCCCCCATCCTGTTATTGTAAAAACGACTCGAATGCGGAGAAGTAGTTTCGAAAATCAAAACTCAGTGTACTCTCTGCTTACTTTTGTATTTCCAATATACCACAGAGATCTAATAATTATTCAAAATTCTACGAAAAAACGAGGGAATTTCCTTTCGGCGTCTCTCAGACATTTGTGTCTCTCGTTTGCGTTAATTTCGTATTATTTTTCTAATAATCTCTTTCTCATGTCTATCCCCATGTCTCGTCTCTTGATAACATCTTCTCTCGTTATCGCATGCAGGGTGTTGTTTGACACGTTTAATGTCCATCCATTTTAGAGCTCTTCGTAGCCTCATGTATCAATTTTTTTCTGTTTAAATACATAAGATTAGATTAGACATTCCATTTTGATTTTTCTAGTGGCAACTCTTTTTTTCTCGTGTACACGTATGACTCATGGACGTGTATGATAATGTTATTATCAGTAAATCCACGTCCGTGAATTGTATGTTCTCACACAATGAGTGCACACACACGGATGTTCACGTGTCGCATTCGTTTTACGAACAGCATATTAATGATTTTGCGCATAGATCCTTATTTAGATATATTTCATTTTATATACCTCGCACAAATGCAATTGCTCTCTTTCTCTTTACTCTCTAATCGATCCCGATCGATCGATTTGATACTGCAATATCTTTTGATGATCCGAGGAGGTTTTCGAATTCGGCCTCTTCCTTCGTTCGAATCTCACATCATTAGCGTTCGAAATGTATCTCGTCAATAGAGTTAACGATATAATCTCGTGTCTCTTTGACATTTTCGCGTTTCGATTGCTTCGCGTGTTTTACGTTTTGCGTCTAACCAAACATTTTATGTGCGGCATTTTGAATTATATACGGAATGACAATTTTCAGATTTTGGACAAAGCAAACGTTAAATACGCAAAAATCAGACGTTCCCTGGCATGTATCGCGCATGAATAAATATTCTCTTGCAATTAACTCTATTAGCAATTAATAAAGTAAGCTGTAGCATATTTTAATTGCAATTAATATAGTGCGTTCGAGTCTCCTAAATTTTTGTCCTTTCGCCACGCGATCTAGTCCAGGAGAGCCTCGGATTCAGTTATGCGGCTAGTTTATTCGCGTCACGGTTCTACGTCTGCTCTATTTTTTTTCTCCCTCTTCCCTCTCTAACCTTTTGCAAAGCACTAGTATTTGGTTTCGTGCGAAGAAAGCGTAAAAACTAAGTATTTGCAACAGGAAAAGCCTGTTTACGTATACACGCGCAAACGCGAATTATATAACATCTCTTCCGCATAGAAAACGTAATCTTCCCTAAAGATCGGAGGTAGCGAAGCACATTTTTCCGGCACGCTGGAAAAGATTTTAGGCGAGAGCAGGATGGGTACTCAAATTTTGTAAAAGAATTCCCTGAAAATTCCCGGATTTTCCAGGAATTTTATTCAAAATTCCAAGTAAGATTAGAGAATTTCTCAATACAGCTTTAAAATTAATTAGGCACTAAGAGTTTTAATAACGTATAGAACTTGATGCGTGAAACAATTTAATCTTCTGATATGTACAATAGTTACATATCCATAGAAAATTTTTCGAACATAACGAAAGATTTTGTATGAAGATACATATGTGAAGATTAAATTGTTTCACGCACCAAGTTCTGCGTTATTGGACTCTTAATGCCTGAATTATTATTTCCGGATTATCGTTTTTTTAGATTAAAGAGTCTTTATATAGTACATGTTAATTTTAAAATAAATTAACTTTCAGTATCAGGAACCTTCGATATGGGGCCACGTTTACTTTCTAAAGGGAAATTAAATTTAAAAGTAAAATTCAAAAAATTTTCCTGGGTATCAGTAAAATTCCATGAGAATCCACGATTTTCAAAGATAAAAATGAAATTCTCTGAGAATTCCAGGTTTTCCCGGTTTTTCCCGGTAGTACCCACCCTGGAGAGGATATTTCGATGTATTATGCAAACAAGTTACCTCTTTATCCGGGACTCTTTGTATTCCGAAAAAAGTTGTCTTTCGATTGAGCTTTTCTTCATTTTTATAGGGCAAACTACTAGACAATTTCAAACGGTACGAATATGGTCAATTCTGAATGAGAAATAAGGATTTCCAAATAAATTTCAAAATAAGAAAATATCGAAGAGACCTGTTCGAACATAAGAGACCTATCTTACCCTTATAACTTTCTTCTTTGCAGTCTTCTCCATCCTTAAAGCTTTCGAAGATACGCGATCGCGCATTTTGAAGCAAACTACCTAACGTTTAGATAATTAATGTTAAAAAGGGGTATCCGAACGTCGAGGATATCACCTACACAGTATGATGACACGTTTTTGGACCGACCGCGCGTTCTTCGCACCCAAAAAAGAATTACGAGCCGCGTGCAAAAAGTATTTCTACACAAACGTATATGTAAGTGTATACAGCCAGCGGATATAAAGGGGTCATTAGAAAAACGTATGTTTCTGATATCTAGGACTTTGGTAAGAAATTGCATCCGCGGAGCACCCGATCTGGTCTGCGGCTCGTGACGTCAGGGTCGATGCTATATAAATTAACGAAATGCCGAAATCGGTGTTATTAAGCCGGTGGAACGCCTCGACCCGAACGCCAATTCGTGCAGACCAGTGACCTGTCGCAACGAATCTCGTTCGTTTCTCAGGTGCTAACTAAATCAAATATAAAGCGACGCGGATGACTCGAACGGTCGCGCTGATGCATAAAATAGCTCAGAGGCGGATGTGCTCTTTCCCTTCCCTCTTTCCTTCCTTCCTACGCAACGAAGAAATCTCTTCCGGAAAGATTCCAATGTTCTACTAACGCGTAACACTAATATCTTCTCGTTCTTTGGCAACGAGACAATCGAGCACGTGGGAGCACCAGCGCGCGCGATCTCTTTTCTTTCTGCAGAGCGGGATTGCTCGGAGGATCGAAACGAAAGCACGGAGCAGACGGATTGACTGCCTGTCGAGGTAGTTACAAGCGACGAGCGCCTCTCCTCACACGTCAAAGGCAAATGAGAAAATGCGGAGTACATGTCTGCAGAAACATTCGCGGGCCCATTTGATGAAAGTGGCGGCGGCGGCAGCGGCGACGACGATGATGACGACGAGGACGGCACATCCCCCCTGGTGATTGATCTTGCTGTGGTGCGCGCAAAACACACGTCGTCGGGCGCTTCGAGAACGTCACGCAGATTAAATGAACGAAAGCTATTAATCTCCTTTCGTTTATTCTAATAATTTTACTGACTAGAGCGTCATGCGCGCGCTGAATACAATTAAAATTATCTTTAGAACTAGAACTAAAGAGAACGTCGATGATAAATCCTCTTTTCTCTCTCTCTCTCTCCTCTTCGTCTTCCTCATCCTCTTCTTCATCTTTTCCCTCCGCTACGTTTTTGTGAGAGTTTATTAACTGCGCATACGATCTCGAAAAACGATACTATTCTGACCTCGTCGTGCGCTCCGCACGCAGGCGACGCGCAAGCGACTCACGCGTTAACGCACGTTACAGTTCACGCACATTTGCCTTTGAGCATTTTGATTCCTTTTCCTTTTTTTTTTTTTTTTTTTCCGTCCGACGACCCTCGTACTCTGAAACGAATGTAAATTCGCGATGGCTACCTCCACCGACGTGTACGCAACATGTATTAGACATCAGCGTAAGCACACACACAGTTCCTTCCAATTTACCTGCGGAACAGGATCGCGCGTACGTCTCGTGTAAAAACATTGCTGCACACGATCACCTTTCTCTTCCCTCCACGCTCCTCCCTCCGTTATGTACAAGCGTTGTGGAAATCGGTATAATTTCGACGGGTTGAAATTCTCGCGTACGCGAGGAAAGGTCTCTCGCTCTTTTCGAGTTCCGCAAACAAATTCCATACAGGTGATTTTTCGCTTGCCTCCGTAAATTAATGAAATTATACTTGATCTTAATCCCTGACGGTGATCCTGACACGCACAGAAAAATGACATCCCGTCAATCTCTACCGCCCCTTGCGCACACCTCTTTTCTTTCCCTCTGGCGCGACAACACCGAGCGTTATCTCGTTCGATGGCAAAAAAAAGTAAAGGATAAAAAAGAAGAGGAAAACCGATATTCCAGTCTGTCACTAATTAATAAAGAAACAACGCGCTCGGCTATGTCTCGTAGCTTACGTCTCCCTTATTTCTACCACGCATAAGATAAATGACACTAGTATTCATGACACTTCCAGTTTGTGACCCATATATCATCTTTCGGAGAAGTAATTTAACGAAAAAAAAAATAGAAAGAAAATCAAGTATTGTACATGATACGCTTATTTAGTGATACAATTAAATATTAAATAATTATAGACTACAGTTCGTGTTAACAAAAGTGAACTTAGCATACGGTCTGTGTACAAAAACCAGGATTTACAATAGCGTTTCTCTAAATCTCAATGTATAATAGGAATATAATAATTTTTTTATCACATATAAAAAGCGGTTGTCTATATGTACATGTCTCGAGTAAGATTAGGTACCATTATAATTTAACCAATAGAAGCTATTATATAATTTGGTACACTGTATTTAACTCGGTATTCGATAAATACGAACAATAATAATCGATACGTCATACTTCCTGGTGTCTTGACATAGTCGTTGGTTTTTTTTTTCGCACGAAATCATATATGTATACACACGGCTCGCTTATTCCACGTTACACACGCGACTTTTTTATTTTCTCTTTTCTCTCTTTTTAAAGACCATTTTTATATAATATCTATATATAACACACGTTACTCAATAAGTCAGAGCTATGGCCAGTTCAAATAAATTCGAGGGTCGTTCGTCGCATAGTCCACGGTTCTCTCCTCTAGAATGCATCTCCGTTATGTAATATTGCCGGAAATACGCTTGCCGAAACGATGTGCGCCATGATCGCTTTCGCAACTTTTGCGAAAAGACCACAGCTCTATCAACGATGAATCGTATCATACAACGATACAAACTAGTATTTGTTTGCTCCACATCCTCTTTGTGTCTACCGCTCCTTTTCAATTCCTTTCTTCGTAAAAATTTGAACTCCGGATGAGGACAGTGTCCTGTTTTTTTTTTTTTCCAAGCAACTGCCCATACATCCGACATCTCGATGTCGTATTTTAATGTGTACGTGCGTCATGATAAACTAAAGTGGCCCACCTCGTTTTTTGGGCTCCGAGATACGTTCCAATCGATCTCTCCGTCGACGAAATCAATTATTCTCTCGTCGTATCCCACGCGTTTTCAGTGATCTAATTTCCTCTAGATTCCTTTTCCCCTTTCCTCTCCATGATCAACTCAACAAGCGAAGTTATAAGCAATCAAAATTTGAAGCAACAACTTGATTCTTAAATATCTACCTAAAAGTACAATGGGAGTCGCACAATGTCGAAGGCACAACTCTTTCAAATCGGTCGAACTGAAAGAAAGCACAACAGGAGGCATCATTGGCGTATGTTGAAATTTAGCGGCACGGCAGGCCGGCCGCCAATAAGTGTCTTTCTTCCAGAATGCTCGAGATTATTAAGTACAAGAAGGATTCTTTTATTGTTGTTAAAAGATTAAATAGCAAAAGCTATGTATACATATATAGCGTAGCTATATATTTTTTATATATATGTTAGAGCATAGCTTTTTTTCGCGATAACTGTGCTTTCTCTGAGATGAGATGAGAACATACTAGCTTATTTCCCCTTTTTTTTTTCTGTAGTCATATCTTTCGATCGTTAGAAAGTTCCATTTCAACTTCCCTTCTTTTTTTTTTATTAGTAACAAATTTACATAGGCATACGGAAAATTATGTTTTATATTTTTGTCTTCTAATCGGCAGAGAACGGGATTCCGTAACACACTACTCGCTATACATTTATACAATCTTACGATATTCCTAAGCTTGAATCCACATGCATTAATCGAGGCAAATAAAACTCCTAGCTGTACTAACAGCTTTATCGATCGCTCGAGAAAAGACAGCGTATTTTCAATCTTTTTGTCAAATTGTCATTTCTAGAATTGGAAGCCAAATGGTCGTCCGGGGGAGGGGGACGGGGGGAGATACAAACATAGAGGTGGTGTCGAGATTAAGGAGAAAGAAACTATCGTTGAGAATTGATTGCCTCAACCAGCATGCGTTAATTCACTTTTCAGTCGGAACCGTCTTCCATTTCATCATTACAGTTCGAACATTCATAGCGCGTCATATTATCAAAGTAACTACCCACAGTGAAACTAAGAGATTAGCATGAGTTCGTTAAAGAATGGTCACTAAAAAAACAAATCCTCACTTGTTATATCTGTACATGTGCTGCTACCGCTCGCCACCAAGCTGCTGGCGCAGTGATATCTAAGTATCCCGAAATCGTTTCACTGAGGCAGCAACTTGGTACAACGTCAGTATTCAGCGTTCATTATGGATCCTGGCTGGTATTTTGTGACGACTCACAGTTTTGTGGATTATGCATTTGAAGCGCTAAGTGGGGTGTGTGTACTGGGGAAGGTCCTGGTTGAGGCTGTTGTTCTTCTTGCATTTGTTGGATCACGGTGAAGTCCCGATTGATGGGGTAACTGCAAAAAGAGGAATAAGCAATTGTTAAAAATCAGTTTGCTTATGTCCTAGAAAAAAAAAGATTGTATTATTTATTACTAATCCACTCTGGCAAATAAAATAAAAATCTAATATCGAGCGAGCGAGAGAGAGTTTAAATTTTAAGTTATAATATAATCTTTTATTTTCAAAAGATTCAGATAAGCAATTTTGCAATCGATATTATTAGGAAGTGTATATTAACAGTATAGAGGATATAGTATAGACTTACTCCATAACGCACTTAGAATCCAAGTGCACTCCAGATGCCCAATCTAAACCACTGTGTCTGAGATTGCGTCTCTTAGTTCGGACATCATATTTCTCATATTTATTTATGGATGGAATAGATTGATATTTGAATGTACGTTGATATTTCTCGGCTTCTTCCGCACAATCTTCGCTCGTCTCTTCGACTTCTGGTTCCTCATCAGGACACAGTTCGCACGCTCGCTCCAACGTCTTCCTTGCGCTATTGCTACGTTCCAAAACATAACCGTTTGCGGAATCATTGGACTGCGTTGGTGGCGACCAGTTGTTATACGCGTGGGTGTAAGGCGCCGTAGAGGCATATGGTCGCTGAAAAAAAAAATAACGATTTATCGTTTACATCTGTAATCGTCGTAATATCGAACGGCGTAATGTTCGGTTTCTGTTACATAGTTACACGTACCTTGTCAAGTTCGTCGTGGAGCCAATCTATCGCGTGACTCCATTTTCTTTTCAACTCCGGACTGTGATGTAAAAGCTGATGCGCTGGTCTGCATTTACTGAAGAGCTGCACCATACATTTAATACACTGGTAGGCTCTCTTCTGATAATGGTTTTTACTTCTCTGTATCGTTTCGAATAAACCTTCTCGCTCATCGGGAACTCCTGAAAAGTGTAATTTCATGCATTGCAATAACTATCGACTTGCAGGAAATGGAAAGTTACTTTTTAAAAGTAACTAGTTATAGTTACTCGTTACAGAGTTAAAAAAGTAACTAGTTACCGTTACTAGTTACTGATTTTTAAAAATAACTCATTATTGTTACTTAAAAAGTAACGATACGTTTTTTTAATGCTGAAACAAGATCAGTCTAAATAATTTAAGATGCAATTTTTTGTTTAAATATTAATAAAAACAATACAGCAATGACACTAGATCGATATATAAAAATAGGAAAAGGAAAGCCTTTTTGGATATAAGCTAGAGCTTCCAGCTTTCGCTTCAGCTTAATATTTCAAAGTGAATTTATACACATATCCAATTCTAAAACTACGCGCCAATTAAATTTTTGATCTTGAAACGCAATTCAGCTGATATTTTTCATAATAAATTTTTCTAAGTATTTTAAGATGCTTATAACGTAAATATCTTATTAAATTACTTGCCAATTTAATTTGTGATATTGATTGACTTATGGCATCTTTAAGGTATCATAAACCAATCACAGAGCCACATTAATATTTTAAGACATTATTTAAAACAATCTTAAAAGAGTAAACTATGTGAATACTAGCTAAACACTGAAAATTGAATATACATACGAAAATTTTGTCATAAATACAAAAGGTAACGATAAAAGTAACTGTATAAGTCGTTACCGTTGCCGAAAAAATGTAACTACGTTACTGTTAGTTACAAAAAAAAATAGAAAAACGCGTTCTGTTACCAAAAAAAGTAACTGTAACGGTAACAGCGTTACAAGTAACGAGTTACTTCCAATCCCTGCTAACGAGCAATATCCGAAAGATAAGGTTTCGTGAATAAACTTACCCTTAAGTGCATTGTGTACGCGATGCGTCTGCCATGAATCCTCCATCAGTAGTATCGCAAGCAGCAGATCTGTATGATGCCTCAACTCGTGGGTGTAAGCGAATCCTATCTGCCACAACAGCTCACTAAGCACCGTTCGCGACAGATGTGGATTCTCCCAACAACAGTATTGCAATAATTTAACTGTATCTTCTGTCACGTTAGCATCCTCAATCAATTTCTTGATGTAACTATTTCAACAGACAGAATAAACGTTAAAAATATTACGTAAAATAAAATTTTATTCATAGAATTTAAAACGTGCTAATTCTCACCTGGTACGAATAAACAATATATCAGCTGCTTGTGACTGAATGGGCATGAGATACTCCGACTGACACGCAGGATCGCCATACGGATTTGGTAAAGGTTCCGCACGAGGCTGCTGACTCGAGTGCACTTTCGACGACACATCGCAGCACCGTATCAGCATGCTAACTACCTGGTGAAGTTTAGTCAATTCCGGATACTGATATTTTATGGTAGGACCTGGGCCTTCATCGATGGCGACTAACATAAACGTAACTGGTACATTTAGCTGCAAATAATATTTTAAAAAATTATTAAATTGTCACTCAAACATGTTTTATCTCCAGTGCAAGATATGATACAATTGAACCTCGATAACTCATCAACTCGAAAAATACTCGAATTTTTTCCTCTAAAAGCCGTTATAATCGGAAAATTATAAACTCTCGTGCAAGCTTCCGTAAGTCGTAATTTTCATGTCAATTCTCTTTTACTCAAACTTTGAAAAGTCGAAACTTCTATAACTCGGAAGATTTTTATAACTGTTCCCTTGAGATTCGAGTTATCGAGGTACGACTGTGTTAATATTTATTATAACATAATTATGTAACGTAATTATTTATTACCTTAAGCAGTTGCGCCTTTTCGGCAAGACCAAGCGAAGCGTACGCGTGAAAGAGAGAAAAATAGTGAGGAAGATGACGGCCGTGGTCCGAAATTTCACGGTGCAGCAGCGACAGCACCGCGTGTAACAGGTGATCGCTGAGTGTCGCTACTGGATCTAAGAGTATAGCTGAAAAATGTTCACAAATTAAAAAGTAAAAATTGTCAAGTGGAAATCCCATTTCAATCGTATCATTTAGTTCTTATATGCGTATCTTAGTACTCACTCGGTGCATTCAAACTGGGCGGAGCACATGGACCATCTTGCAAAGAGACATGTGCGAGGAATACCAAAATTTTGAGGAAAGCAGTGCGCACTTCTGTACTGGGACAACTCAAGAGGTATTCGCAAAATCTACGGATAACCAAAATTATTAACATTCAAATACCCAAGTATTTTTACACATTATCGCGCATTTTTATTCGTTTGAAAAATTCTGATACCTATGTGGATGATTGAACAATACTTCATTGGCGAACCAAGAACGCACTGCTTTACTGCTACGCAAATGATGGCACACGATGTCGTACCAGTCCGTTGCCGTGCCACGTAACGTTTTCTTAGTGTGAAAACCTGTATAGAACAGAAATCTTGATGCCAACTGCACCGATAGCATCGCAAGTTCTTCCGCTTCGGAGCTCTGAAATCCAATCGTCATTTTAGCGGAGAATTAATAAACGGGATTCCGTCAGAAAATACATATCTTACACGCGTGATAGACTTACAAGTTTCTCATTTAGATTTTGCCGATTGATATTATGAGGATTGCAGGACACCAATTTCTTGATGAACTGGAAGTACTCAGCACTAAATTGATTTCGATTGTGCATAAATTTTATATTTTGCTTTCTCACACTGTATTCTATCGCTGGTGGCATTTTCATAACTCCTAGTTTCGTATCTGAAGAGTATGAACGAGTAATGAGACGACACGCTTCGTCGCGAGATCGAAATCTCGTGCGCGAAATTTTATCGATATACTTACACAATGATAGTTCATTTACACTTTTCATTAGAGAATTTTCTTCTACATCTAATCTTGTATAAAATAACATGTACGCATTCCACCATCGCTTCTGTTTGCGGTAACTCATCCGCTTGAGCATATGATCGAATACCTCCCCCAAATAATCACCGCCAAAGCATTGAGATTTCATCTCTTCTTCTTCTTCCATTTTGCATTCCGTTACATCGCCGTCGTCGAACTTATACCACTTTGCCGTACCATCGTTCAGTCTGCAAAATTATTAAATAAAAATTATTACCTAGTATCATAATTACTTTCATACGTTTAACATACCTGTGTAGAATGTAGGAATAGTAATGGCCACCGCTAGCCTGACCGCTGTGAACGACGATACCGGTCAATTGATACTTCGTGCACGTTCCCTTTACAGACTCCTCATAATCACAGTCTATAACTTCTCCTTCCAATTTAGCTAAGCCGGAGACAGTGTAAGGCTCCATGTCCAAATCTCGTGGAAACTCAAAGTAATCGTTGAATTTTATAGCACATACACGTTCGAAGTCGTACTCAAATCTTTTCAATTGAATTGCTAAAATAGGCGGCAGCTTTTTCACGCACAATCTCTTTACTGTTACGACCTAAACATAAAAGAGAACATAAAAATCTCTGATCAAGCAAAATGCTGCTTGGTTTGTGTAAAATGATATAAATATAAAATAATGAATATAAAAGACAAAATAACAACATTTGCTGATAAATAATTTTCTCATTAAATTTTTCCTTTTTAAATACAGTAGAGAACTCCGATCATCTACATCAATACGACAAAATTTATGCTCAGTTCCAAACTCAATAATTCAGGGTTACCATAAATTCTTCATTCTAAAATTTCATGACTTTTTCCTGACTTCTAGAAAAAATTTCACGATTTTCCCTGACTTTCGATTACATAAAAAAATTTTTGTGTATATTCCTTTAATTTGAAAACTATTTAAAAACCGTTAAATATTTTGTTGAGAGAGCAATTTAACATAACGATATAAATTACTATTCTTTTATATATGCGTACATTTGTTTTCCTCTGCTTACAATACAAGAAAAACATGTAAATATAGATTCTTTTTGATAAAAACTAAATTCTATTTATTGGAATCTCCGATTTGCTATTATACAAAGATTTACAAACTTAAAAGAAGAATTACAAAAATTCAAAGTTAATTTTAATTTTATTCATTTGTTCACAAATAACACAAGAAGCTTACTTACGTAAGTTAAAAAAAAACAGTTTTAAATAAATTTAAAATTCCAACAGAAAATAAACAAGTTGAAAATTCTAATGCTCTGTAGCATTTTAAACCTCTATTAAAAAGAGAGTTTATATTAGCTAACAAAACTGTATAAATGTGTGATATTAAACTTCTTTAAAGCTAAGAATTTTAATTTTCCAAAAAATTTTGTGAAATTCCCTGATTTTTCCCTGATTTCCATAACGGTTTTCAATTTCCCTGACTTTTCCCTGATTTCCAGTTTTGTGGCAACCCTGAATATATGCAAATATATTCGAATAATAAAAGCTCGATATGCTCGAGTTCAATTTTCCAAACGTCAGCTATTATCAAAATTCAAAACTAATAACTAAGTCTCTATTATCCGAATCAACTCCTTTGGTTATCACAACTATTTTGTCTCCCACCCTTCCCCCCTGGATAAACGAGGTTCTGTATTAACATTATAATAATTTCTTATACATTTGCAAAGATGTATTATCAGACGTGTAATCGTACCTTTTTGTTGCACTTATCACAATGGTAGGCGTCTGCACCCTCCAGCAGCTCTCCTTTCACGTATTGCTCAAGAGAATCCAGTAAATTACTGTGATTCCGTATGTCCACACTTATCACGCTGAATGGCTCCTCTTTGGAATATCTGAAGATAATGTAATGTGATATTACAGTTTACCGAAGAGAGTAGAATGTAAGAACTAAAAAGGTACCTATGAGGGCAACCTTTGCAGATTTTTTGGTCGCTGTATGAGCCACCAAGAATCTTGCCCATTATCTGCTCGTGTCCCAAGGCTTTCAATGCCTCGTCTAGACTCTCTACCAGACTCATGAAGAATTCTACTGCGTCCTGTTGTTCCCTAAGATTTACAGGTTCTCCTTGAAGCCTGTGAAAATTTAATTTTTTCATTAATTACTTAAAATGCAAAATATAATGCGCCATCAGTTTTTTTTATATATATTTTATACTAATAAGATTGTATTTTGTACGATTTTCTCCTCTCTTTTGGAACACAAGTTGTTACTTAAAAAAAAAAAAAAGTTTTATTGTAATAAAATACAATTGTTTTTATTCTTACTTGAAGTGCTTCCACAGTCCTCTAGGTATGTAATATTGTAGTTTACTGTAAGCCAGATGACCAAATATCGCTTGCACTTGCTTCAAAATGCCGATGTTATACTCCTTCCTGGATTCATCCGCACCGCACTTTTCTTCGTTCGTGTCGTTATCATTTGTTTCGATTGTCTGCTCCCCCTCGATCCTCTCTTCACCGGAAAAGTCCTCGTTCAGATCAGTCGCCGCGCCCTCGGCCGCCAAAAGTCCAACTCTAATGCTCTCCACCATATACAACTGCTGTAATACTGAATTCATATAACAGGTAGCCCCTGCATTCTTCAAGCCTACGAAGCCTTTGAGCGGCCTGAGCCCTACAGGCGGTAAATAATCCCACTCCACTAATGGTTCGTCCTTCTCGGAGTAGAACATGTCGGTGAGCATTGTGACTAGAAGTTTCATGTTGGGTACACAGCCTATGCAAAGACCTACGAGCAAGTCGAATGCAGCGCTGGTTGACTGAGGGGTGGTACACACCGGGCACGCCTGCGAAGCGCTGAGCTCGCCGGTGCTGCGAAGCTGCAGCATGAGGCGAGACGCGGGGAACACAAAATCCTCGACCAGCTCCTTGATCAAGTTGACCCCGTGCTTCTCGTCGGAACCGATCTCGTACTTCTGGTTCGGCGGTAGAAAGGCCAGCAGTTCCTTCGTTAGACCGAGGTGACCCTCGAGCAAGGCTTCGTCCACCTGGCTCTCTCCGGTCTCCTTCACGTTATCGCGAACTTTCTTCAACCAGGCGATCTCGACGTTTAACAGCGTCTCCGCGGTCGTGAGGGGACAACTTGATATATGCGCGAAGTTCAACAGTCGGCACAAAAGCTGAAAGTACTCGTGACTCTGTTTCGCGTTCTCCATAACGGTACTGTTCAGAACGGTGAAGAGAAGAGTTATGGTGACCAGTAGTGTCTGGTGTCCGCCGCTGCACCATGTCGATATGAGAAAAAATTGTTCGCCGGCGGCGATCCTGATGGCTCTTGACGTACTGAGTAGCACGAGATCTATCAAGAAGGTGTGCCATATCTTGTCCCTCGACAACGTTTCCAATGCCGACGGATTCAACACGAGGGCGATTGTCAGTACCTCGAGTGCTTCCTTGCACACAAGAACGTCGTTATTATCGGGGTTTCTCTGTTCCTTCTGGTTGGCCTCGTGCATCGAGTGAAGCACCTCGTTCGACGCGTTAACGTTGTTCAAGTTACCCGTGGATGCGGCCCACGCTAGTCTAATTATGGCACGTATAGTAGCCACATCCGGTAATTCCCATGAGAGGGCCTGCACAAAGAGCTGCCGACATCGATCAGCCTCGGGCCCGCCGGATAGCATTCGATGCGCCAGATGCTGCGCCAGTTTGGCCGCCACGCTTCTCAGCATGTATTCGGTACTTTGATTCGGTACACTCTGGAGAGCCTGTTTCAATACCGACACCCGCCCGCGGTTGTTAACGTGATTGTCGTGATTCTCCGAAGTTCCAGTCTGCTGAACCTCGTCCATCACGCATGCCATCACATTGCCCACCACTGTCAAGAGAAGCTTGCACAATCTCAGCACGGTTAGATAGGCAGATCGCTTCGTAGTCTCGTCCGCATTTGGTAAAAACTTATTTTTGGTTAGCATGTCGAGGATAACGCCTGCTTCGCCGCTTTTTATGAAATTATATTGAAATTCAAACGCTCTCTCCGACATAGGGTCGAGAGCCGGCATTAACAAAGTGTACAACACCTGAAAATGAACAAAAAAATCGTCATTGACAGAGAGAGAGAGTACAAGGCTAGAACGAGGATAAGACTTGCTAAGCGCTATTTAATATGCATTCACCTCTAAATTGTATAAAACTTGGCTAGGACTTGCAGTAAAAAATAGAGAATCTACTGTCGTATTCTGCTCGTTACAATGATATTGAGAAGGGTTTTGTAAAGCTTCGTCGTCCTTGTAATGGCCAAATAGCCACTGTAATCTTGTCACAGTGAAGGTATCTGGCGGCACTAATTGCAAGAGATTTCGTGCACCATCACGCAATTGCGAATGCTGAAGAGTACAGCCAAGGTCTGCTAATTGAAAGAAAAATGTCGCATATTGCGATCTTTGTGACATTACCTGAAACAAAGTCACATTGGAATAAGCGTGATGAAATGTAATTATTTAAAAAAAATTTTGGGAGAAATAGGCTCCCGAGAATAAATCAAACATATCAAAGTAGAGGCCTGTGGGAGCCAACACGGATGTTGGTGTGTAATAAATTTCTTTACAGATTCGGGGGGATGAGATTCTTATAGATGCATATTAGTATTAAAGAAAAAAATTGTTAATCAATTTAATTTGATACAAGTGATTCTGGCCTCATGTAATGAACTGCCCTGTTTTGAAAGATCCGATAGAATCAGATAAAAAGAAATCTATACAATTTTATCGTATTGTTCGTAAATATCAGATTTGTTATCTTTTTTTACTCTATTTAGTATATAATATAAAAGTACTCCAAGTAATGTTTACCTTTGACCATATTTTGTCAAAATTTATATTATCATACAATGTTTTCAGTTTATGTATGATTTATTATTTAATATTTTAATTTTAGAGATTTTGTATCTTTTATATGTAAATAATTTTAATATATTTCTTACAAATATAATAAAATATGTAACAAATCATAATTTTCAGCTTGAATTAGATAACTCGATAAGTTATGCAGAAAAAAACAAACATTCGAATTTATATTTAAGTGTATTTAATGTTTAAGTAAGATATACTATTGAGAAACGTTAAACTTCGATAGGTAACTTCTCTATAGTAGCTCAAATATGAGAATCCGATAGAAACGATAACTATATAATTAGATAAAATTTCAATAAAGTTTAAATCTATTTCTATCATTATCTATTGGATCTTTTAAGCAGGGTGTGTTTTAAGAGCGACAAATATGCGGCGCACAGTGTAGTTAGTAGTTTGTGTATAGTTAAATTTTATAAAAATTATCACCAACATCCATTAGCTCCCATATATAGGTCTCTACTTTAATACGTTTAATAATCAGTTTATAAATTTCACATTCAACTTACCACACCAGGTAAACTATTCTCTGCCTCTACATTCGGCCCGTCGTACGGATGATGCGGAGAACTAGTAGAGCTATCAGAGCTACTGTCCGGTGAGCTTGGCATATTGCTAGTTACTTGAGTGAGCTTCGCAGACAATAACTAAACGAAACACAAATCATATTCGTTGATTCTTTACATCATAAACATTTTATATTTTAGATTCACGGCCTTGCCTCTATTAGGGCTAGTGATTTGCTTTGAAAGCTTCAATATTCGAACTTCGGAGCTTCGAAGCTTCAAACTTTCGCAAAATACATTCGTGCAAATGAATTTATTCAGAAAATTTACAAATATTGTAAATAAAAAGAATTAATATATCTATACAAAATATATAATATATATATTCCAAAAAAATTTGAATCTTATAACCTAAAACATTACAAATTAATAATTAAACTTGATATATATGCAAATAAGGAAAGATAATGATCAATAAAAACAATCTAATTAAGAAAATTCAAATTTTTTATGTACATTTTTCAAAACTTCGAAAGGTCGAAATTAACGTCAAAGCTTCGAATATTCGAAGTGAATAAAACGCATACTCCCTCCGTTTTTGCCAACCTTCGGTTGGCGGCAGTCGGGAGTAAAAAAAAAAGAGTAACAGCCCTAATCTCTATTAATACTCACCATTTTGTCTCTCAGCGGAATCTGAGAAAGGAGTTTTCTCTCATCGGATTGCTCTAACGATTCTCCATTAATAAATAAATCGAGTTTCACATTTGCCCCGCTTGCTTTGATCCTGCGTAATATCTGACGTCTCAACGAAGCTAAAGTGTCATTGCTGTGTGTAAAGATATCTATGTCGTCAAGCGGTACTCGACCGGTATTCGCAAAACGAATAACAAGTGATAGATGCTTGCCACGAGCTGCTCTGTAATATCAGAATAAATAATGCGCTATCAATCTTCGCTGTACACAAGAGACATTCTTATCTCGATGTGTGCAACTGTAAGTTTACCTGTGCAACGGTAATATTTTCCGTTCCCCTGGAAAAGCTGTGTCGCACTCGTTTATGTATTCCTGTAAAACTTTCATAACGCGACACATTTTTATGGCCTCCATTTTAATCTTGTTTGTCATTTGTTCTTCACGCTCCTCCTTCCCATCCAAGTATACTCTGCTCAAAACAGTCACCGTGTCATAATGAGCCTTCAATCTGTCCATACACTCCGCTATATATGTTTCGTGAAATGCCAAAACGGACGACTGCAACCGCGGCCCTAAATTGGTGTTCACCTCCTTCAAGAGTTCTATGCCTCTGTTTGCAATTTCTTCCGGGCTGTTTGTTACTACCTGTTAAGATAAATAAGATCACCGCTATACATAACGTGCGCACGCAAGAAAATGGGAAAATGGAAATTCCCATATAATTGTAATTAAAGAAAAATAAACAAATACAATACTACATACTCTCCACAAATAATCAGTTCCAATTAAATCCACATCATCCATGAGAAATGTTCTACGTTTCAGTTTCAATTTTCCTTCCTTAGAATTAACGGCTTTAAAAAATCTTTCATAACATTTAATACCGCTTTCTGTAAGCAATGTCGGGTCTAATTGCAGTATATTGTTTTGAAAAAAATCCTTGTTTATTGCTGGATCCAGATCCGGTTCGTCTCCCATAAGTTTGGAGAACCATTTGAAGCACGCCTCGCGATCCGAAACAAATACACCTTGCTCAGCTAAACACTGCCAAATTTGTTCTGCTTGATCAGCACATAGCCATAATTGTCCATCCTAAGAAAAAGAATCCATGCCACGTTATACCATATTTTTCGCATAAATTCATGTCCGCTAAAATTTTCGCATAAGTTCATATCTGGAACGTACCTTTAATAAGAAGCGCAAGAAATTCAATCTTTCTTGCACTTGCATAATATGATTATATCGACCGTCAGGCATAAAAGTATTTGCGTCAATTTCAGGATTTTCCTTCACCAACTGCCGCACTTTATCCATATAATTTGTTAAGCTATTTGTTACAAGAATTACTACTGAATGTTCGTTTTGTAAACGCTCTATTACTTCTTGCCTGTATAATAACAAAAAAATCAAAATTAATGTAGCAACGTATCATATTTATATGCATTTATTTATGTAATGTATCATTAAGGGAAGTTTCACCTTTGCCAGCCGTAAAATTAGCTCTTGTTTCATGAATTTTTTTAAGAAAAATCTATTACATACAGTAAAACGCGGTTTTGCATAAACTTATATATTATTTGAACAGCAAAAAAAATATTTTTTATTTATACAAAAATGTATTTTAATGCCTCCTAGTGGCGATTAAATGTGGCATGTTTCTCGAGCTGACGGAAGTAATTACAAAAAAACAAATTAAGATAACGAGTCGATTCTTTTTTCTTATTGATCCTAATACTTTAACACATGGCGTGAACTAAAATCATGATTTTACAACAAACATTCAATTTGTTATTAAAAAAAATTTTTTAAATTTGTAGGGCAAAAAAATTTTTTTTCAAATGCTATCATTTTTACAAA